AAAGGGGGTTTAGCTAATCATCTTCTCACCCTTTTGGTTATTCCTTCATCATTCTCACTACACTAGTGGGTGAGGATCTTTAGAGGTCTTCAACTTTGGAGACTTAAGGAGAACCAAGGAGCACTCATTCTAACAAAGTGGAGGAGGCAAGGAGGGAGGCTAGACTCAAGGAGTTCCAACAACAAAGGGCTTGGAGGTGGTCCATCCTTGGTCTAAAGTCTAGATCAAGAGGTATAAAACTACTCCTACACTTTGTTCTTCAATAAATTGTTTTGATGCATCTTACATAAACCTATGCATCTTGAAGGGGATTTGCATGACTATAGCTTTGATATTATTTGATAACATGCTTCCGTTGCTTTGGTATATAAATTTTGAATTGTATATGCATGCTAGTCACTAAAAATCCCACATGAAATCTCACAATTTCCCTTCAATTGGTACTTCTTTATATGATTCACTTGAATATGATTTGGAACATTCTTCCCAAATCATATTTTGAATCATATTTGAGATCCCTTGTTGTGCATTCACATGCCTACATGATTAGATAACTTGACAACAACAATGTCGTGGACACTCTCAACAGAATGCCTTTGACATAGTCAAAGATCAAGGACCTAATCATCAGACAAATATGATGCCTCAAGTCAAGGGGCTACTTTGCATATTGCAACTTATGAGTTCTTACATGACATGTATCTCTTTTGATCGTTGTTCAGTGTACTCAATTACCCTTTCAAGCACCTATGTGTTTGTCTTAGTGTCCAACACTGAATGACTTGAGACTAGTCATACTCACGCTTGAGTCAACATAACACATACTAACCTTAGCGGATTGTCAATGCCCAATTGGCAATCCTATGGCTAGGAACGTTTTAGGAATGAACATAAGAGAAAGGCCTCATTAACCTAACTTACTTAGATCAAATCTCTCTTAGAAAGCATACGTTCAATGGATTCCCCTATTGCTTAAACACATGATACAATAAACAGTTATTAACAATAAGTTTTGCACTTCATTAAACAAATAAGAGTTTAACATAATGAGTATTCCAAAAGCTATTACATCAAATGAGTGGCTTAATGAGCATACTTTCCAACAGGCGTTTCCACTGCTCAGATTGCCCAATCTCTATAAATTGATGAATTTGAGATCCCAACTTGTTGTTTAGTTGCTTGGAAAATTTGATTGGAAAAATCCCCAGTTCTTCCAATTGGGTGGGAGATGAAAATGACAACCTTGCCCTTCTTTTTATTTTTTTATTTTTTTTTATTTCTGGATTACATTTCACTTAAAAATTTATTTTCTATTTTTTCTTATGTGGCATATTATTGACTGCCACATTAGTAAAAGAGTGCAACTCACATTTGCCACACTATCACTTAATGATAAAATTTACAGTTTGACTAACAATGTATGAAATTGCAACTAAATACAAGTTTGTGTACGAGATTGAAATGTTTTAAAGATATTGTATAGGTTGCAATCACGCCTATAATTGAGGGGGTAAAATGTAATTTACGCTTGGTTTTATAACGGAACCTCAACTTCCATTATGGTATCAGAGCAAGTTGGCCCATACATGCTCAACATCACCCAATTTGTGTTGCCCACGTATTAGGCTTGGAAATTTGTCACACGTGAAAGAGCATGTAAGGATGTGAAAGGCAAAGTCACACATTAGAGAAGAATCAAACCTTGCAAGAACTTCCAAGGAACACATTGTGAATTTGGCTTTATGGTGCCAACAGGTGTGTCAATTTTGTGTATTTAAATAAAAAAAATATTTTTTAATCTCTTTCAATCAGATGTCCAATTCAATTTTCCAATTAACGTGGAGCAGTTGTAGGGTTTCATTATTCTAACTTTTTTTCTATTTGACAAACAATAAACACTTCATTTAAACTGAAAAAAGCCCCTCACAATAGAATTAGCGTTGAAAGGAACTCAAGAGGAACTAATTTCCGTCCCATAGCTACCCTTGGAGGCATCAAATTATGCAAGACTATGTTTAACTTAAGTCTTTATACAATGCAAGAGTTACACGTCCAATAATACATCTATACAAACCCCATGTTCTTGTCAAAAACAAAACAAGCAATTTTATTGAAAGAGGAAGGCTCAGCACAGGCACATCAAATTAGCCCAATAAGGTGGGGATAGCCAAAGCCCTATCGGCAAAAATGCAGAAAATAAAAAAAAACTCTAATCCTCAACCAGCATATAGCCCGACCTCCATCCCCGCCATCACCTCGCCAGCAAGCACATAGGTAATCACCCGAAGAAAACCAACTCTGCGTTGAATTTTGACAAAGGAATCACAGTGCAAAACAAATCAACCTGCAACAAGGGAAAAAGCCCCAACCCAATTTCTCCCAAAACCGCTACACCGGAGAAGAGTCAACAGATCTAAACCACGAACACAAGCACCCCGCAACACGCTTGCCCCCGATTTCTGGCAAGCCAATCGAGTGCAGTGACGTGATCGAAGGGCTTAGCTTTGAGTAGAGGTTGTGGGAGGGACGGCAGGTGGAGAGAAGAGGCAAATGAACAAGGTGGAAGAGGATGTATGTTTGAGATTGAAGGAGGGTGGTTTTAGGCCGAGATGCAGAAAACGGTGATAAACACCGGGGAACGGCAAACAACGCCAGGATATGGCGATGAACGCTAGGAGAAGTACAAAGAAAGCACATAAAAAAGGTGATTTCTGAAATCCAACAATGGGCGCCGAATGAGCAATACACCAGCATAACTAAAGAACGGATGGGGAGAAGAGAGAAGGCAATTAGCGGGGAGGGGGGTTTGTTTGCCGTCGACCCCAACCCAAGGAAGGACTCGACATCACCGAGATGGGTATGTGGTTGGCTTTGTGCGAGAGAGAAGAAGGCTAATTCCACCGACTTGTTTAACTGGAATTTTCTGTTTTTTGGCTACAGTGACAGTATCATAATTTGTAACTAGGATTTAAAGTAGGGGGAATGCAACATGAGAATTTCCTAGCAGTCACCCTAGTACTACTCAACTCCAGTTCTTAAGCACCATTAATACATAAATTATTAATCTTAATCTTGCCAACTGTATCACAAGTCCCCACTTTTCGTTCTCGCTTGGCGACTGTATTGACGACTTGTAATCGAGGCCTAACCGAGGGTGTTCCTTGATGTGGCTGATAGTAACTGAAATCTTCTTCCTAGGCTGCTGGTGGAACATGTTCAAGTGCAATGCAATGCGTACTTTGTGAATTAAAAGTTAACATATTAGAAGAGGGAAAATTTTTGAAATGTCGTATGAACTTGTACCCATTTTTCAATTTGTCATATAAATTAAAATTTTAAACGATTTGTCATACCAATTTTTTACAATCATTAATTTGTTATCTCTTCCTAATTCCATTAAATTACATTCAATATAAGTCATTTGCCTCGCACATGACCTGTGTTTAGGGTTATTTTGATCATTTTAATACCTTACTTCTCTTTTATTAAGTTGTATTCGGCAAACAACTATAGGGTTTCTCATGCAATGGAACAATATTTTTGATATGATAGCAATGAAATAATCATGCAATGCACTATTTTCTGCTTATTCCAAGGGTAAAGTACAAAAAACTACTTCAACTATTAGTGTCAAGATACTTTCATACCTCATCTTACGAATTTGTGACAATGTCATACCTTCGTCGGTTGTTCTATTAATTTCTCAGTTAATTGCTGACGTGGCTTGATTCGGGACCCACTTTCTATTAAAAAATTATTAAAAACTAAAAAAAATCATTTAATATTTTTTAAATATTAAAATAATAAAGAAGGTTATTAAAAATTAAAAAAAAAAAAAAACCAAACAAAACTTCCCCCATGCACCCTCTCTCTTCTCCCCCATCTTCATCTCCCTTCATCTTCTTCCTACGTACTGCAACCCAGAAAAAAAAAAAGAAATAAAAAACAAAATAAAACAAAAAAAAATTTGTCCCTTACCCCCCCCCCAAGGCGCCCTCTCTCTTCTCACCCATCTTCATCTTCTTTCCTCTTCTTCCCCCTATTTGCTGCAACCCAGACAAAAAATAAAAAAATAAAAAAAAACAAACAAAGCTGTCCATCCCTCCCCCCCCCCCCCCGCGCGTGCCCACCTTTTTCCCTCCACATCCAATCCCCCCATTTTCTCCATGCCCAAGTTCTCAACGAGATCTGGGTTTTTTTATTTTTTGGGTTGCAGGTATTGGGTGCGAGGTTGGGTGCAGATAATGGGTGCGGGGAGAAAAGGGGGTGGGGAGCGGGGAAGACAAATTGGATTTTTTTTTTTTTATCTGGGTTGAAGTTGCAGGAAGGTTGAAGAAGAAGAAGATGGGGAGAAGAGAGAAGGGGGGAAGGGGACGAATTGATGTTGGTTTTTTTTTTTTTTTTAACTTTTCATTATTATTTTAATATTTAAAAATATTAAATGATTTTTTTTTAATAATTTTTTAATAGAAAATGGGTCCCGGATCAAGCTACGTCATCAATTAACTAAGAAATTAACAGAAAAACTGACGGAGGTATGACATTGGCACAAATTCGTAAGATGAGGTATGATATTGTCAATTTTAAAAGATGAGGTATGAAAGTATCGTGACACCAATAGTTGAGGTAGTTTTTTGTACTTTACCCTTATTCCAAATATGTAATGATACACAATTGAGAGTTTGCATTTTAGCATGTCACAAAGACATAATTTCATACAAGCTCTATAAATGAGAAACATGTTGACATTTTGTGCCATAAATGGACTTGTAGATGCTTATACTGTAAAGAAAAGTAAAAAATTTAAGTGTTTCTACTAAAAAAAAAAAAGTAAAAAACTTGTGCAAATATATGAAAATGACCTAAATAACCTTGAACACAGCACATGACTTGTATCGGATGGAAAATTTAACCGAGTTAAGATGAGATGACAACTTAATGATTTTGTAAAATTGGTCTGACAAATTGCTTAAAATTTTAGTTTATATGACAAATTAAAAAATATGAACAAATTCATATGACATTTCAAAAATTTTCCCTTCGAAGAAAATATTACAATTGTTTGTTTCTCTAAATCACTATTCTTCTTAAGATACATACAAACATATGTAACAGAGTGAGAGTCCCAGTCAAAGTTGATGAAAATCTCACCCAAAAACAAATGTGTTTCTATATTCTCCCCTACCATCACTCCTTTCTCTGTTTTCTCTATTAGTGAGGATTCAATAATACTTAAAAGTTCGTCGATGCGGCAGCCACACGAACTTCTCCAACTACTGTTTTTCTTGCTTAACAACAAACTTGTACAGAAATCGAGTCACAATTTGCTAGTGTACACTGATATACAGGAGCACCAGTTAGATTGCAGTAACTGAAATCTTCGTCCCACTGCACCAACCAGCATTCCAAGACTAACCGAATACCCTCTACAGCATCCCATCTCTGACAGAATAAACAAGAAACTGGTTATCCTTGATATATGGATTTGGAGGACACGAAATGCATGAATAAGATAAGAAGGTTCGAAGGATTTCATAATAGAATAAAATAAGTTATGCTGAAGTTCTTCATGAATCAATGGGACTCTAAACTTTTGCATCGTCCTTTTTCAGATCGTGCACGTGATTCAGTATTCTGGGTCAAAAGATACACAAATAAAACAAACCAGGTACATTTCAGAAAGTTGTGATGTGCTTGTCCGTTCCAGCAGATAATGCAAGTATGGGTCGATAAAGGTTGTGGATCTAATGAAGAAAATTATGTTCCAAGGGCATATGACCAATTCAAGATCCCAGTATGTACCACACGGACTAGTGCAAAGTATCTGGTAGAAAGGTAAACCTCAGACTAATAAATCCAACAGAGGAGCTTCACATGCAGCCGTAGATGAAAGGTACCAAGAGCAGAATAGATAACAAGAGGAGCTTGTCAGGGTGGAAAGATGGAACTTGCAGTGTTATAATAGCAGATAATGTACGCAAATATGGGTTCCAGACTCCAGTTCATAAGACCCTCAAAACAAAACTTAAAAAGTATATTTCTGATCTTCAAAACAACAAAGCCTTATTTTTATGCAACAGTGAGACAAAAAAATGCAGTCCAATAAATAAAGAAATAGTGACAAGATTATTGGTTATGGTTGATAGATTGTTTTCCCCCTTTTAATTTACAGGATTCTGAAATATTTAGGAAAACTGGTGATTCTGGGGACAGGCATTTGAAGATGAGAGTTCTAGATTTCAACCCCTAGTCTGTAAGATCAGTAAGTCCAATGTGTTCACCTTTTTTCCTTTTTAATGATGACGAGATCCCATCAAGCAAAGCATCAATAAAAAAACTAACCTTCATGAATTTCAGATCGCTCATGGCAACTAAAGTACAAAAGGTGCAATATTCCTCAGAAACGTCTGGATTTCTGCTGTGGAGGGTATCCCGTCATCCCCATTCCATTATCTTTCCTTCTCAACTGTATTGGAAAATAAAATAAAATAAAATAAAAAAACCAGCATTAATCAAGAGAAAGAAATACTCTAAAGGTCAAAACAATCTAGGCTCATCACAAAACACCTGCTGTTGGTGATGGGCCTGTGCTACACCACGCTGCATTGGCATGCCGGCAGGATTCATTGCACCACCCATCCCTGCCTGAGATGCAAGATTATAAGCAGTCATGCCCTGTGGCTGCATTCTTTGCAGGTTAAGCATCGGCCTGGGCACGGATCTGTTCATCCCTCCATGAGCAGCTGACATGTTTCCAGATAGTGCATTTCCAGTTGATACCTGGTCCAGATAATTGTATGATGGGCATGCACACGTAACATGATGAGCATGCACACGTACCATAGAGAATAAAGATTAAGATGCTAAACTTCCTACGTTTACTATGTGCAAACATGTTATTTTTCATGCATTACTCTTCTATGTAGGAAATCACTCAAAGATGAATTTGTTCTATGGGATGCAATATAAAGCAGATCAATAGTTGAAGAAACTCTAAGGTAAATTAATTCAGTCCTCTCAATAACAATTAAAGGGAAGAAAGCAAACGTGATACAATTAATTCAGTCCTTACAACAATAGATATGACCAGTTTCACTGAGGAATAAAACTAAAACCATCAACCAGCAGCTTGAAGTGAACAAAATGCAAAAAGGGCGGGAAGGAGATTCCAGGTTCTGACAGACGGACCTTGAACTAAACTAAAAGCGCTCCCCTCAACAGTATCAGTATCATCAAAGATTATGCTTCTTCCAAAACTAAACGTGCAGACGATTTCGACTCAGTAAACAATAGTTATCTACTAACAGGCAGAAAAAATATCGTAATTTCCTGTTCTACATCCAACATGTAACGCAAATCAAAATTCGTGAAAATTATAATGTTTTCAAGAATATATTATTTTAAAGTCTTACATATAACACCCCCAAAACTGTAGGCTACAAAATTGAGTAGCGTTCCATTATGTTTCTTTATTCCGGCCTTCACTACCGTTTATAAAATTCCAACTAGGTTTTTGTAAAAACCATGGTTAGCACTTCATTTAAACAGCTGCAGCTTTGGAACAGAAGAGTACTCATTCAGTTGTAAAACCACGAAACATACCGGTTGTGAAGGTTGAATGCTAGTTGTCCCTTCAAAATCTGTGGTTGTGTCTACCGGACGAGTAGGATAATTCACTACTTTCTCTCCTTGGGTAGGTACCAAAGCACTGATCATTGATAACATACATACCTGGTCAATATAAGAAATATGGGCGCACTATATGCTTACAACAGCATCTAGTATCTCCATTACAGTGTTTTCTTTTTCAAACTTTTAGGTGGTATTCATGAAAAGGTGGTCAAATAAATAGACTCAAAATGGTTGGCATATCATAAGGGAAAAGGTCCACAGCAAACAGGGGAAGTAAAAGTTAATAAAGAAGAAAACCTTACTTGCGTCCTGGTAGAGGTTCAAAACGAAAATACCTGAGAGAAAAATATGAATCTTTTTAGAAAGCAGTAACTTTTGGGTATGACAATTTTTATTTAAGAGTATCCAAATTGCAAATACTGTATTAATTAGTTTGTTAAAATAATCATTCACAGTTGTTACACCAGACTTTGATACTTGATTTTATGTTCTAAGAAACAATTCATGTTTTTGTGGTACCTATTAGAAGCCCCAAGATACCACTTGTTATTAAGATCCAAGCCAATAGCAGTTTGCATGTTTCTTTTTTACTTTTCTTTAACTCAGCACTTGAAACCAGTGTCTAAAATGATCTTTATTAAGTCTATGCTTCTTATTAAACCATTATGATAACTCACAAACACAGATATAGGGTTTACAACAGTGAAAGATAGGTATCAATAAATTATCAAAGAGGGTGAGGGAAAGGGAATGATAAGCATAATATGAGAGATATAGGAGACAAGAAGCTTTACTCATGCTCTAATGCTTGTGCAGCTGTTATACGCTTTCGAGGATCATATCTGCACACACAGTTGTTTGGGGGAAAAAACAGACAATCAATTTATCTTTCTTATGGAAAAAGTAATGCATGATAACCAGCAAAACCTTACAGATTACATGCCACTGTAACTAATTACAACAGGAACATATTTTAAGTTATAATTTCAACACTTTTTAAGTCAAGCAAGTGTAAATTTCAGAAGTTATCAAAACTTTAGCATGTATGATAAACATGAAGAGATTGTTTAATCCAACAGTTGGTTTTAACGAAAACAAAGCAGATGAAAAATTATTGTGTCAGAAGCTCCAACCTTCCCGGATCTTGAAAAAAAAAAAATAGTACAAAACATTAGCCCAGCACCAGGACAAGATAGGCAACCGATAGTAAAAAACGCCGCTTAAATTTGTAGATCCAAATTGACGCCCTTTACCTGCTTTTCGTAATTCATACACAAACTAGCTTGAAATATTTGAATTTACTTGTAACTTTTGGTTTACAACTTGTGGACAGAAAAAGCATGTCCATTATACTTATTAAGATTGAAACAAATTCACCACTGATTGACCCATGAGGAAGGCATGTCCGCTATACATGTTTAGTTGCTAACAGTTCTTCAAATAATTTATTAAAGTAATAGACATCTCACTGAAAAAACCAACTCCTAGTGACCAGATAAACATTCAAAATATGGGAATTAACATGATCGATCAACCTCACACTTTTATATAGCTCGTCAGTGAAATCCTAAGGAAAAGAATGTTCCAATAGTACCCTTCTAATTGTCATTTGACCTGGTATTTGCATGATAGTAAAGATAATCCCATCAAGGTCTTAAAATACTTTCTGTATTGTTGTACGCGGAAGGAAATAAGTGATGTTGACACTTTTCGAAGAGAGGTAACCTTTCTCTGAACCTTGGATGTAAAGATAAGAAACCTTGCTATAGTCCACAGGAATTATTCATTTTTTGCCCCTAATTATGTTGTTCTCATATCTAATCCTTGAATCTTCAATTATCAACATATATCTACACTTTTATGGTCAAGACTCAAGAGACCATGTATGTTCAAAGATTCCATACGATGATACTGTATTAGCAATTAAGAGGGCACTCACTTCATGAATCTTATTAAAACAATTCAGGATGTATCCTCACTCCAAATTTGTAAGCATACGTTTGTACTTCGTAATTAGGATTCTAAACCTTTAAAAAAATTAGAAAAAAAAAAATGGTAAAATGAGAATTAGAATTTTTTGGATATAGTTAGTTTTGCAAGTGTTGTATTTCACTCTCCCTGTGCACAATTACAGAATGAGATTCTTGTAAATTTAAAAGGCAACACTTACTCAAGCATCTTAGATAGCAGGTCATATGCAGGACTTTTTGGAGAGAGGTTAACTACACTATACAACGCAGTATTATCACTGTCAAAAGCATACAGCAGGAAAAAAGAACTGGTTAGTTTGATCAAGGGAAGAACGAAAAAAAAAAATGAAGCCAAACATGGGAGATACAAGAGAATGACAAATTAGACAAAAATAATTCTTTCAGATTCCTATTTATATTCTTTTTTATGTCACACTAAACAAGTTTTGTATACATGAAATATGAGAAAGCTTACTATTTATGGCCTTGAATATGTTGTATATCTTGTTGCCATTGTGGAAGGTTCGCAAGTGCTGGCCACTTTTCTAGTGTAGGATGACCTGATGTGGTAACCGTCAACTGTAAGGTAGCTCCATGGAACATACAAAAGATAAATGGCCTAAAAGGTAAAACAAATTACCCAAGACCTTGAATATCTTGTCAAGTTGATCAAGCTGCACAAGTGAACGCTATTACTAGAAGATATGATAGGATCACGAAACTTAAAACAGTACTAGTAATAAAAGTGGTCAAATATGTAAAAACAGTTGAGGATAAAAGTTGTGAATGAAAATACAAACAACGTTTCACAACCTGAAAAGGGTTTGGTGTAGCTTTGACTTCTGCGCCTTGAAATAATGGCTTCAAAGTCAAAAGCTCAGCAAAGATGCATCCGACAGCCCACATATCTAAATTATATATTAAGAAAACATTGTGTTTTTTAAATTAATCAGCTCATATAATTCAAAATACCAGAGAAAACCATTACATCATCACAAGAAAATATACAACAACAACAAAGCCTTTTCCCACTAAGTGGGGTCGGCTATATGAATCCTAGAACGCCATTGCGCTCGGTTTTGTGTCATGTCCTCCGTTAGATCCAAGTACTCTAAGTCTTTTCTTAGGGTCTCTTCCAAAGTCTTCCTAGATCTTCCTCTACCCCTTCGGCCCTGAACCTCTGTCCCGTGGTCACATCTTCGAACCTGAGCGTCAGTAGGCCTTCTTTGCACATGTCCAAACCACCGTAACCGATTTTCTCTCCTCTTTCCTTCAATTTCGGCTACTCCTACTTTACCTCGGATATCCTCATTCCTAATCTTATCCTTTCTCGTGTGCCCACACATCCAACGAAGCATCCTCATCTCCACTACACCTACGTGTTGATGCTTCACCGCCCAACATTCTATGCCATACAGCATTGCCGGCCTTATTGCCGTCCTATAAAATTTTCCCTTGAGCTTCAGTGGCCTACGACGGTCACACAACACGCCGGATGCACTCTTCCACTTCATCCATCCAGCTTGTATTCTATGGGTGAGATCTCCATCAAATTCTCCGTTCTTTTGCAAGATAGATCCTAGGTAGCGAAAACGGTCGCTCTTTGGTATTTCCTGATCTCCGATCCTCACCTCTAACTCATTTTGGCCTCCGTTTGCCCTGAACTTGCACTCCATATATTCTATCTTTGATCGGCTTAGGCGAGGACCTTTAGATTACAACACTTCTCTCCAAAGGTTAAGCTTCTCGTTTACCCCTTCCTACGTTTCATCTATCAACACTATATCGTTTGCGAAAAGCATACACCAAAGAATATCATCTTAAATATTAAGTTTGTGATATTCGCTAGATTGCTCTGGTCATTAGTGTGGATAAGTATGTAAATGGATAGAGACAGGAAGAAAACACAAGATGTACGTGGTTTACACAGTATATAGGTTCAAGCTCTCCTTTAGTGAGTACCAGTGAATGATTTAGTACAAATGACATTAGGAAATATTGTGGAAGAATGATCTCGTAATCACGAAACTTTTAAGTACCGAAGTGTGGTATCGTCTTCACTTGCCTTATCTATCTCATAGGTAGATGTGGCATCTTCTTTGGAAGTACTCTTCCTCCCTCCAGGGGTGGTATCTTTAACTGGTGGAGATGCACAAGGTAATGTATCAATTTCACTTGACGCTTACTTGTAGTTTCAGGCTTGGTCAAGCGCGATACAAACCATGTAGTAGGAGTCCCCCAAGTCGCCGAGCTAGGGGATCTGCTGAAAGAGATGACAGATAAGGTAAGCAATCAGAGCTCCAAGCAATCAGTCCCAGATCAGAAGTTTGATTTCGAGTTCCGGCTGATTGTTATCCTTCTCCTTATCTTGCAGGTAGCATGAAGGATAAAGAGAAGAAAAGGAGAAAATGTGATATGAGATACTTTTGCTTTTGAAGAAGTAACTTTCCACAGGCTTATTCTTGAACTGAGCTGGAGGGTTTTCTTGTTTCCGCCAGAGTATAAGGCCGACTGAAGAATTTGAGGGTCAAAACAAGTCCATCAAATCTAGAGTACGTTCGACCTTGCTGATATGGGATACTTTTGCTGTTGACAAAGTAGTGGATGTATCGGCACGTGTTCTGTTGCGCTTGTCTCCACATGCTTCCTTGTATCCTTCTCACTTGCCCTATTTGTTCCTCAGGCAGATGTGGTATCTTCTCGGGAAGCATCAGATGTTGAAGATGAGTACTCGAGAGCAATGGGGTTCCAGGCAGTCAGTTTCGGACTGGAAGCTTGATTCCAAGTGCTGACTGATTGCTCTCTTTCTCCTTGTCTTGCAAGTAAGAACAAGGCCAAAGGAAAAGACAGGGAAAAAGCATGATATGGGATACTCTTGCTTTTAACCCTGATGATATGAGATATTCTTGCTCTAGTGTAGCTTGTTTGCAGAGGTATTCTCGGGGGGAAAGAAAGCTGAGTATTTCGAGAGGCTTCGTTGGGAGTGCCCTCTCAGATATGAGGAAGGGTTGAGCATTTTTGCAGGTCTGCCTGTCCGTTGAGGATGAAGGTCGACATATATAGGAGTCTCCCTAACAATGAGTAATACTATTCTTTTACCCTGCTTGGTCATAGCACGGTAGTGGGAGCTGCCAACTTCACGTGTTTTAACTCTGTCAGAGCACTTTGAAAAAGTGGTCTGTGGTATCTGGAAAGCTGATGTTACGTGTGAAGATTACAGACAAGCTTTATCCAAGGAGATCTAGCTCTCGAAGTTGAGAAAGCGGTGCCTCTTCAGTTTTCGAACAAGCAATCCTGTCGGGGATCTGTCTCTCGAGATTCGGAGAACGGTGCCTCTTCGATTTTTGAGAAAGCAATCCTGCTAGGAGTCTGGCTCTCGAAATTCGGAGAACGGTGTCTCGTCGCTTTTTGAGAAAGTAATCATGTTGGGAGTCTGGCTCTCGAGATTCGGAGGACGGTGCCTCTTCGATCTTGAAGCAAGCAATCTTGTTGGGAGTGTTTTCTCGAATGTGAGTAAAGGTTAGGCCTGTTTGCTAGTCGACCTTGCCACGGAGCACAGAGGTTGACCCACAGGGACTTTCCAATTATCCAGCAATGGTCATGTTCCTTTACCCTTGTGGGTAATAATATGGTAGCTAGACCTTCAAAATTTATGTGTCTAAACTTTATTAGTGCTGTTTCTTTGCTATTCTTTTACCCTTCTTGGTCATAGCGATGTAATGGGAGCTGCAAGCTTCACGTGTCTAAACTTTGTCAAAGATTTTTGGCAAAGTTATCTGTGGTACCCGTGAGTTGATGTTGTGTGTGGAAAGTGAATGATTGAACAGTAACATTCACGTACTTTCTACTTCACTAGAAATCTTCGACAGAATGCCCGTAATTTCCGCAAAGTTGAGTGTGCATGTGACAGGTGCTGACAAGGCTGAAAAAGCAGGTGCCTCTTCGATTTCTGAGATCGGCCCTCGTGGTCTCTGAGCAGCCCAGCTTTTGAGAAAGCAAGCGCCTCTTCGATTTCTGCGATCGACCTTCGTGGTCTTTGAGCAGCCCAGCTTTTGAGAAAGCAAACGCCTCTTCGATTCCTAAGATCGGCCCTCGTGGTCTCTGAGCAGCCCAGTTTTTGAGAAAGCAAACGCCTTTTCAATTTCTGAGCAGGCGCCTCTTTGATTTCTGAAGCTCCATCGAGTGCGGATTTTTATAGAGGCTGATATTAATTTCCAAAGCACACTTGAATCTCCACCAGTAGAAGCTCCCTTCTTGCATTTCTAAGATCTTGATTTGTCCGACCTCTTTTCTCTTCAACACCTTTGAAAATGTCTGGCCCCTCCGACCGTCGTTTTGACTTGAACCTTGTTGAAGAGGTAGCCACGCCTTCTCCAGACAACATATGGCGCCCATCCTTCTTATCCCCTACTGGTCCTCTTACCGTTGGGGATTCCGTGATGAAGAATGATATGACCACTGCGGTGGTGGCCAGGAACCTTCTCACTCCCAAAGATAACAGACTACTTTCCAAACGGTCTGATGAGTTGGCTGTTAAGGATTATCTGGCTCTCAGTGTTCAGTGTGCAGGTTCTGTGTCTAATATGGCCCAACGCCTATTTGCTCGAACCCGCCAAGTTGAATCATTGGCGGCTGAAGTGATGAGTCTCAAATAGGAGATTAGAGGGCTCAAGCATGAGAATAAACAGTTGCACCGGCTCGCTCATGACTATGCTACAAACATGAAGAGGAAGCTTGACCAGATGAAGGAATCTGATGGTCAGATTTTACATGATCATCAGAGGTTTGTGGGTTTGTTCCAAAGGCATTTATTGCCTTCATCTTCTGGGGCTGTACCGCGTAATGAAGCTCCAAATGATCAACCTCCGATGCCTCCTCCTTCTAGGGTGCTGTCCAGTACTGAGGCTCCGAATGATCCCCCTCCGGTGCCTTCTCTTTCTGGGGCTCTGCCGACTGCTGAGACTTCTCCTAAGCAACCTTTGTGAAGGCTCCCTCTTGTTTGTTTATTTTGACTCGTGTATATGTACATATTTGTAACTTCTTAGAGATATCAATAAATAAGCTTTGTTTCATTTCAACGTATTGTGTTAAATACACCAAAGCCTTATTCACTAAGTTCTTTGAATTTTTCTTTTGTTGAAGCTTGTATGTTGAAGCTTTGTGAGTGGAGCATGTATGTTGAGGTAGTGTTCCCTTAATTTCCCGAGTGAGGAAAACTTCTCGATTGGAGACTTGAAAAATCCAAGTCACTGAGTCGGGTCGGCTATATGAATCTTAGAACGCCATTGTGCTCGATCCTGTGTCATGTCCTCCGTTAGATCCAAGTACTCTAAGTCTTTTCTTAGAGTCTCTTCCAAAATTTTCCTAGGTCTTCCTCTACCCCTTCGGCCCTGATCCTCTGTCCCGTAGTCGCATCTTCTAACCGGAGCGTCAGTAGGCCTTCTTTGCACATGTCCAAACCACCGTAACCGATTTTCTCTCAGTTTTCCTTCAATTTCGGCTACTCCTACTTTACCTCGGATATCCTCATTCCTAATCTTATCCTTTCTCGTGTGCCCACACATCCAACGAAGCATCCTCATCTCCGCTACACCCATTTTGTGTACGTGTTGGTGCTTCACCGCCCAACATTCTGTGCCATACAACATCGCCGGCCTTATTGCCGTCCTATAAAATTTTCCCTTAAGCTTCAGTGGCATACGACGATCACACAACACGCCGGATGCACTCTTCCACTTCATCCATCCAGCTTGTATTCTATGGTTGAGATCTCCATCTAATTCTCCGTTCTTTTGCAATATAGATCCTAGGTAGCGAAAACGGTCGCTCTTTGGTATTTCCTGATCTCCGATCCTCACCCCTAACTCATTTTGGCCTCCATTTGCACTGAACTTGCACTCCATATATTCTGTCTTTGATCGGCTTAGGCGAAGACCTTTAGATTCCAACACTTCTCTCCAAAGGTTAAGCTTCGCATTTACCCCTTCCTGAGTTTCATCTATCAACACTATATCGTCTGCGAAAAGCATACACCAAGGAATATCATCTTGAATATGTCCTGTTAACTCATCCATTACCAACGCAAAAAGGTAAGGACTTAAGGATGAGCCTTGATGTAATCCACAGTTATGGGGAAGCTTTTGGTTTGTCCTTCATGAGTTCTTACAGCAGTCGTTGCTCCTTCATACATATCCTTTATAGAAAATATAAATAAAAAAAAAAAAAACAAAGCGGCAGGCCTACAGAAACTATTCAGCATAACCAGGTACCTATGAATACATGCTCATGATTGTAATCACATGTTAACCATATGGGCTTAATACAAATAGAGTAAATAACTTGGTGTAGGAGGATACCAACAGCACTTGTATAGTGCTTAGCCCCAAGGAGCAATTCCGGTGCACGGTACCAAATGGTTACCACAACCTGCAAGTAATACAGCTAACTTATTACAGTTATAATTACTTTTTCAATGCAAGTGGATAATAGCAATAAATTAGGGGTACAAAAAGGTTTTATTACTCAAAACAATAAGAAAAGGGCATTGATCAAGTATACTAGCTGCAACATGAAAACGCAGATAAAAATACTTACAAGATTTAACAAACCAATAATGGAAAAAAGTGAGAAACAAATTACAGAAAAATATATAAAAAAGATCAACAAACAGATCATCTTCAATTCAACCACTGAAGGCTCAGTGACTTTGAAAATCCTAGCAATTCACCCCACTCTCAGGTGCATGACTCTGTCACTAACAAGACTTTAAACGGCAAGGTGTAAGCCTTGTGGCATTGAAGTGTAAGCTTTCTGAAAGAAACATTTTAATTAAAAAAAATATTAATTACAAAAATATAATCTGCAAGTATGTATGTATAAGTTATATATATGATGTAGATATCCTCACTGTATTCTACCGTTATGCTTTTGTTCAAGTCTTCTCATAGTAAGAGTGTAATTTATTTAAAATTACAAGATTAGGCATCTTCCATTATAATATTAGTAGTTGTTCTACATTGATATTTAGGTCTCAAAAGTTTAGTTATGAATCACACTGAAATATTTTCATAGCTAAAACTATTTTCAAGTGGAAGTGTGCTGCACATATGTAACATTACTTTGCTGGTCACTACATGGGACCATAGTCTTTTATTTCTGATACTAAAACACCACAAGCCCAAGACCAGAAAACCCAAAATGAAGCACAGTGCTTCCACAAAGGAGGAGCCCCAACTGAGGATGACACCGTTTCTCTTCTTTCTTGTGTGGGTTTCATCTCTTCTTTCAGTCAACGCCTTGCGCTGCCACATGGAAGATGGCATGGGCCTCTTGCCACTTGTCATCAAGGCATGCATTTTTACTGGCTTTCGGTAAATGCGAAGCTTAACCTTTGGAGAGAAGTGTTGGAATCTAAAGGTCTTCGCCTAAGTCGATCAAAGACAGAATATATGGAGTGCCAGTTCAGTGCAAATGGAGGCCAAAATGAGTTAGGGGTGAGGATCAGAGATCGGGAAGTACCTAAGTGTGACCGCTTTCGCTACCTAGGATCTATCTTGCAAAAGAACGGAGAATTAGATGGAAACCTTAACCATAGAATACAAGCTGGATGGATGGAGTGGAAGAGTGCATCTGGTGTTTTGTGTGATCGCCGTATGCCATTGAAGCTCAAGGGAAAATTTTATAGGACAGCAATAAGGTTGGCAATGTTGTATGGTACGGAATGTTGGGTGGTGAAGCATCAACACGTACATAAAATGGGTGTAGCGGAGATGAAGATGCTTCGCTGGATGTGTGGGCACACGAGAAATGATAAGATTAGGAATGAGGATATCCGAGTTAAAGTAGGAGTAGCCGAAATTGAAGGAAAGATAAGAGAAAATCAGTTACGGTGGTTTGGACATGTGCAAAGAAGGCCTACTGATGCTCCGGTTAGAAGATGCGACTACGGGACAGGTACAGGGCCGAAGGGGTAGAGGAAGACCTAGGAAAACTTTGGAAGAGACTCTACGAAAAGACTTAGGGTACTTAGATCTAACGGAGGACATGACACATAACCAAGCGCAATGGCGTTCTAGGATTCATACAGTCGACCCCACTTAGTGGGAAAAGGCTTTGTTGTTGTTGTTGTTGTTGTTGCTCCAACCCACAACCCAAGGTGACTTTTTATACAGTGGTCACTAATATAATCATATTGAGACCACCCAATTATTGCCCCAACCAAAGATGACTTTAATGGAAGCTAAAATCTCAGTAACCACTTTATCCCATATAAAGAACGCACACAGGACATACTTCCACAGCAAGTGAATGGCAACCTTTAGCGAATTTCAATTAGATTAGAAATTGCTTTCCTTCTTGAAGTTATGGTTATTGTGAAGATATGAATGCATTAGTGCCAATGGTAACAAACAGGAGTGTTTCTTACACCAAAACAAAAAGAAAAGGTGTTTGTACCATACTTAGGGCATCCGTATTTAGATCTCATATAAATACTCGGACGACTCAAATGTAATTATGTAATAAATGAAAGGGCAAATATGTAATAAGTGAGGAGCCCTTATTCTATAAAAGGACCCCTCACTCTCCTCATTAAGGGAGGCCAATTCTTAGGCCTAAGATCCCTAAAGCCTCACTCTCATGTTCAGAGCTCTCATCCTCAAAGAGAAGCTCTCTCCTTCACAATCCTCTCAGAGAAATACAATATCAGTGTGGATGTAGCCTAAACATTGGGGTGAACCACGATACATCTTGTGTTATTTACATTTCTTGCAGACTCACGGTCGGATTTACGTTGTTCCAAGACCCCTCCGATTTTGTGCATCAACATTTGGCGCCGTCTATAGGAATCGACACGAAAGCTATATCGGTTCTCTCTCAAATTTTCACCTCCACCGTGAAACTGCAGAAACCCAAGAACCCAGAAAACCTCACTCTTTGGGCTTTTCCATAAAACCTTCGCAGACTCTGTGCAATTTTAAGAAACCATCCAAAAACCCATTTTCCATCTCTGTTTGAAGAACACAGCTATCACCGCGCCTTTTCATGTCTCTCTCTCTCTCTCTCTCTCTCTCTCTCTCTAAACAATATAATCAGTTCTAGGTGTAAAGACAAAGAGAGGCTTTGGTTGGAATTTGTGAAAGGATAAGCATGTAGAAGCAAACCCATCATCTTCTCCGACAAGAGGAAGAGAAGATGAAGGACTCCTGCACTACTGCCTCCAGGACCCAGGAGGAACTCGATTGGATTTAGCAGAGCAGCCTCGCAGTACTGCCTCCTGCGCTCCAGTGAAATCCTCAGTGGACTGCTGCACTCGACCGCCGGCCACCATCACTTTTTCACCAAAATCTCAGCAAGCCACCGTCTTCCCTCTCTCTCTCTCTCGGCGAAGGGACAAAAGCGAAGTTGTGGAAGAGCTCGCGAAGACTGAGTTGCTGACTCGTAACTCATTCGCGAGGCTTGGCGCAAGAGGTTTGTTGCGACGGCAGAGCTGGCGAAGGCCACGGCGATGATGAGAGGGAGCGTGTGGAACCGTAGGACGGTACAGAGGCTACAGCAGCTGCTGATCTCGACCGTTGGATCGATGAAAGTCAAGCTTCTGCTGTGCTGTTGCATCGGATTCACGCTCATCGTGCTCGCCAGTCGATCAGCTTCTTCCCAGCTCTTTCTCGAGCTCTAGAGCTCTGCAATCAAATCAATGCACTCCGCATTCTGATCAAATCTCAGCCCTCCATTGTTAGCCTTGATGTAAATCTCAACCCCCTCACTCTCCTCTGTCGATTCGCCCCTTTAGATCTCTGCAAATCTTGTGGGGTACTGAAGTTGGATACTTGAATGGTAAAAATGGTAGCCGTTGAGTTTGGGTGCGCAGCTGCTGTACTATTTTTCCTTTTAATTATTGGCAGAGGTTACATGTGCAGAGGTTACATGTGTAGGTCCAGAGGTTATATGTGCAGTATTATCAGGCGGGTCCCATGTGCGGTGGTATGAAGGAGAAGGCGAAGGAGATCAAGAAGAAGGGGAAGTTGCTCAAAGGGTTGTCGAAGAACCTGGCGGCGTATTCTTAGATGGGTTTTGGACCGTTGGATTCTCAAGAGGGTTTGGTCGATCAACTTCAGGGGAAGATGATCTCGGAAAACGCTGAGGAATTATTGCTAAAACAATTAGAACAACTAAGAGCAGAGGAAAAGAATATTTCAGAAAAAGAAAAAGGGAAGAAATGGGCAGAGAAGGAGCTGAGAGATCAAGAAAAGCAAATGGGTGGTGTCAGACCAAAGAAGATGCCCACACTTTCATCATATGCATGTTCCCATTTTCTAAAAAAGAAAAAAAGAAAGCAGAAAAGGAAAAGCTGAAAAGAAGATGCTCCACTATTCCACTATCCCACGGGATAACATGATTAAAGATAAGAAGATGCCCACCTAGGTTCCCCGTCTCCATTTTCTGTTGGACTAGAAGATGCCCATCAACATGCTGAAAACATGTAATTTATTTTTCTTATCTTTCAAAGACATCTTTATAACCCCATCAGAGGGTAAAACAAAAAAAAATTTAAAAAAAAAAAAAAAAAAAAACGGCAAGCCTAAAATAATAGGTTGGAATATTATGTGGAGAGCAAAGGCCCATATACCCAAAAGAGCCAGGCCCTCTATTATCACCAACCAGGTGATCAAAAGTACGTCCAGTACTACAAAAAATTATTCGGCAGCCAGGCCCTCTATTATCATCAATTAGGTGATCAAAAGTACGTCCAGCAGTACAAAAAATTATTCGGCAGCCAGGCCCTCTATTATCACCAACCATGTGATCAAAAGTACGCCCAGTACTACAAAAAATTATTCGGCAGCCTGTCGCTATTACCACCAACCAGGTGATCAAAAGTACACTCAGTACTCTAAAATTATACATGAGCATCACTCATGTCAATCATACATAGACATTCATGAGCATCATTCATGTCAACATTCATGAGCATCACTCATGTCAACATTCATGAGCATCACTCAAGTCAATCAACATAAACATTCATGAGCATCACTCATGTCAATCTAGCTTCAAAAGCTTTATTTACAGAGCTCTAGCTTCAAAGCTTCACTTGCAAAGCTTCACCTACAAAGCTTCATATGCAAAGCTTCAGTGTAAGGTATACAAATACCGCCTCCGAACAACCGCCACTTCGGCCCATACATGGATTCAATTTGAAGTCTACAGCCAACATACCCTATTGACTGAAGACTTGGGGGACTACACAATGTACCATATATTGGGCCTCATAAAAAATACTTGGGGGACTTAGCCCATTATTTATGTATTAAGGAGCGAACCCTTATTTTATAAAAATAACTCCCTCACTTTCATTAGAGAACACTCATTATTCATGTATTGAGAAGCGAGCCCTTATTCTATAAAAGGGACCCCTCACCATCATTAGAGAGCATCGCCGCCAGCTGAGCAACCGCCTCGCTGCAAGCATCAACTCTACCTCATTATTCATGTATTGAGGAGCGAGCTCTTATTTTATAAAAGGGACTCCCTTACCTGTATTAGAAAGCAACGCCGCAAATTGAGCAACCGTCTCGTCACGAGCATCACTCCTAACCCATTATTCATGTACTGAGAAGCGAGCCCTTATTTTATAAAAGGGACTCCTTCACCTTCATTAGAGAGCATCACCGCCAGTTAAGCAACCGCCTCACCGTGAGCATCACTCATAACCCATCACTTATGTATTAAGGAGCGAGCCCTTATTTTATAAAAATGACTCCTTCACCATCATTAGAGAGCATCGCCGCCTACTAAGCAACCGCCTCACCGCGAGCATCAACTCTAGCCCATCATTTATGTATTGAGGAGCGAACCCTTATTCTATAAAAGGGACTTCCTCACCTTCAACGCCACAAGCCGAGCCAACCAAAGCAACATAAGCCACAAACCGAGCAGCCTCGCAACATGTGCTACTTCTAATTGAGCACAGCCTCATATCGAGCATCAGTTCAAGACGACATCTAGTTACTTCGGCCCACACATGGACTGAATTTCAAGTCTCCAGCCAAAAGATTCTCTTGACTGAAGACTTGGGGGACTACTGTACCATACTTAGGGCCTCCGTATTTAGATCTCGTATAAATACTCGGGGGACTCAAATGTAGTTATGTAATAAATGAATGGGCAAATATGTAGTAAGTGAGGAGCCCTTATTCTATAAAAGGACCCATCACTCTCCTCATTAAGGGAGGCCAATTCTTAGGCCTGAGATCCCCAAAGCCTCACTCTCATGTTCAGAGCTCTCATCCTCACAGAGAAGCTCTCTCCCTCACAATCCTCTCAGAGAAATACAATATCAGTGTGGACGTAGCCCAAACATTGGAGTGAACCACGATACATCTTGTGTTATTTACATTTCTTGCAGATTCACGGTCGGATTTACATTGTTCCAAGACCCTTCCAGTTTTGTGCATCAACAAAAGGAAAAATGAAGAAAAGGAGAATCGAAAAGGAATAAATAATGCACTAAAAACCCAAAGTTTAATATAGTCGGGGAATCTAGAAACCATAATTCACGATACTCCAGAAGTTGACATTACTAGTTATGATACACCGAGACTTGAAGACAACAGGAATAGAACTATAGCATGATAGACTTAAAATACATCTATAAATCACAATAACTTTCTAAAAAATACAAAGAATCTCAATCATGCAGTGCGAGTCACTTGAATGGACTAATTTACTAAACTTTGAACTTAGCTCCTGTATTGACATAGGTGTTTAGTATATCTTATGCATATCACTATTGCTTAAGGAGAGGGATTCCAATTTTTATTAAAAATGGGGACCTACTGTGGGTGCCACTTTGCATTCTTTTACAACAATGTGAACTGTCTATTTTTCAAATCTCCATTCATAGATCATCCTTTTGAATTGGACCCCGCATGTAGTTCCCTTTTCTCCCCAAAAAATGAGGATCCCTCACCTTAAGTAACCTATATGCATATATATGAAGTTGAGAACACCACATACGCTCATAGAAAGATGGCATCTAAAGAACAAAATGATACAAACATGTCTCCTTACCCCATTTTCAGACAACGACTTTAAGGGAGCCTGATATATCCTTGCAAGTCCAAAATCCGCAATTTTCACAACTCCTTGCTCCTCTTTGTCGCCCATAACCTATGAGCAAAAAATGGGTAAATGTAGCAGACATTTATGCTCGTTCACACTTTGCAAGCAACATAAAGTCAAACAAAGTTGCATCAGGAAGAGAATGAAAAGGTTATACAAATCATACCAAGATATTAGATGGCTTTAAATCACGATGAATGATCCAGTTACTGCAAGGAAGGTTCCGCATAAGTAGTCAAACGATAATGTAGATACAGCAACAGAACAAAACATCAGCAGCGCAATGTCAAACAAATAAAACCATACCTATGGAGATAATTGAGTCCATTGAGCAGCTGCCAGAGCAATGTCTTAATAGTGTAATAATTGATTGCGTGATTAACTTTGTCTCTGTGATGTCTAATGATTTCCTGTGAAGCAAATGCACGCAACCCACGACATATTTCTTCCATCAGCGGAACTTGAAATCCCATTTCAATTGAAAGAAAGAAGAAAAGGGAAAACATCAGATACTCACATAAAGGTCATGTTCTGCGTAATCGAAAGCCAGATAGAGGGACATGTCTGTGTGGTTGATATGAACGTTCACGAGCTTCACCACATTCTCGTGCGATATTTCCCGCAGCAACTGAACCACCCAAAAACAGTTTTTTTATATTTTTTTAAGATTTTATCCAAACCCAAAAGCAAATTCTTCATTTTTCTTAATTTTTGAACAAAATTCCCAAACGAAATTTCGAAGGATAGCGTCTGTAATGCTTAAAATAAATAAATGGGACAAAAAGGATGAAGAAGACCATGATTTCACGGATGGCAGTGGGGGAGACGCCATCACCGTCCTTGGACTGCTTGAATTTCTTGATGGCGATGGATTTTCCGCGGTTGGACGGAGGAGACTTGGTCCTTGCAAGAAACACCAGGCCGTAGGTGCCTTCCCCGATCTTCCCTATCAGATCGTACTGTTGGAGCCACTCCGGCTTGTTACTATGACCACCGCCGTGGCTGTGGTTGTTGTTGTTATGGCCTCTGTTGCCGCTTGCGCCGCCGTCAACCATGCTGGGCTGGGCTGGGCTTCCACCGCCACTCCTCCACCTGTATCTGTACGTGTAGTAATTGGGAAGATAGGCAAATATCTCTCTTTGCTCACTGCTCTCTACCTCCTCCCCCTCTTGCTGGCGAGAAATTTTTTATTGTTACGGAATAGGGTCACTGTGAGAAGATAAATTTTATTTTTTAACTTATTAATATTGCAGTTCTTTTATATTAGTAATGTATTGTGTAAATTCTAATAGATTTAGGAATATCTCTTTATATTTCTGTTGACCCTAGAAATTACAAAGCCTACGTGGCGCGCAGGCCGAATATATTCTAAGCTAACTACGTCCTTCGGTGATTGCGGGGCGTGCCAACTCGTCGGCCGAGGCTCGGCCGAGGAGTAAATTTGATGATGCTGCGTTGGGTCGCGCTACTGACTTCTGCGTCTTGCGATTGCGGCCGAGAAAGGAACGCGTCTCGGCCTCTTGGGTTCTCGAGCCTGAAGACAAGGCTGCTATTTCTTACAAAGTTCACGAACCGAATTCGGCTTGCAATGTGCCGAATGTAATAACTGTAACACCTCACCTCGCCGAGAAGGCTAATGAGATGACCTCGACCAACAAGGATTCGAAAACCCTTCTCGACCGAGACTTGGATAGGCAATCGACCGTTCTCGCCGCAGTGCTGTTGATGCCAACGGAAGATACTGCGAGACCGACCGACTCTACGGTGACAGAGCTATCTATGCCGACTTAAGATATCACCGGTTGCTTCCACAGTGCTGTTGATGCCAACGGAAGATGTGTCAGCGAAAAAGGAAAAGAAAAAGATCTCAAGTTGTGAGAGTTTGCGCAGGGCAATTTTTGTGTTGATTTGCAGAGGCTTTTTCCATTGCTGAATGTCTTGTATTTATAGTAGCAGAACACCGAGCCCGAGTTCTAATCCTATTCGAACTAGGTTTCCCTCTCCGGATTAATGTTACCTCAATCAGTCCTATCTCTGCTAGGACTACGAATCTAGTCCTTAACTGAGCCGGATTCGCCTTCTAGTTTTACTGATCTCGTCGAGGGTCCCCATTGTATTAGGACTCGACTTGCACTCTGATTTAACCGATCTAGGCCTAGAAGCCCATGAGCTGGACGCCCCCATGACTCTCTCGCCGTACGTCTTCCAGGGCCGAAAGTGATCCCTCCCTCGGCCCAAACTGTTATTTTGGGCCCAAACAATTTCTAAAAGTTGTAATCCTAACAGCTAAGGAATTAACCTACCTCCTCCCCCTCTTGCTGGCGAGAAATTTTTTATTGTTACAGAATAGGGTCACCGTGAGAAGATAAATTTTATTTTTTAAGTTATTAATATTGCAGTTCTTTTATATTAGTAATGTGTTGTGTAAATTCTAATAGATTTAGGAATATCTCTTTATATTTCTAAAAGTTGTAATCCTAAAAGCTAAGGAATTAACCTACCCTATTATTATAAATAAAGACATATTGGGATGGAATAGAACACACCTCACAATTGCACATCTCTCTTCTCTCTACTATTGCCGCACCCCTCTCTCTATGGCCTGCCTCCATAATTATTTAGTAAAATTATGCCTACAACACGTTATCAGTACGCTCTTGACGCTGCACTAAAGAGAATTCAATCTTCAACTAAGGGAGTATTACGTTTTAATCATTCTTTTTATGATTAATTTATTATTTTATTAAATTGATCTACATGCTATTGATTCAATTTAATTTTTCTTTGTTGAATGTGATATACGCATTGAAGATAAAATTTCAGCTTTCCGAGAAGGATCTTCAACAAATTCAAAGGCTTTTGTTGTTTTCTGCCAATCAGGTATGTTTAAAATAAAGGAAGATATTTGAAACAACCATGAAGCATGAAAACATTCCCCATGATGCATGAACCCCCTACATTTATATTTACATTCCAATATATATTGTATATGTTTCATATATTTGTCAATATATATATATACACGTTCCATGCATTACGCAATTTTTGCTATGTGGAATTTGTGAGTCAAAGAATCGAAAGAAATTAAAAGCAATTTAGGGTTTGTCAAACCTTAACTATGTCAAAAAACAAAAACAAAAAACAAATTTTGGGCAATGTGCGGCACCATTGCCGCACCTCCACCATGGCACCATCATAGTAGTAGCCCTTTGGGCCTTGCTGCAACCACATGGACAACCCCCAAGTCTTCGGCCTAGTTGACGTGCATAGGCCCAAAGCCCAATTTGCACCCTAAGGAAGCCCATAGACTTCCTGGCCCATCCTTGTGATCTCGGCCTAATCTACCAGCAAGCTTTGTGCTTGCTAGGCTTTCCATCTGCCATGGCCCGTGATTCTATATGCCAACCCATGTGGCTGGGCTTGTTCCACGAACACAGCCTCGCGTAAGCCAACCCGCAAGCTAGCCTCGGTTGGGCTTGCTCCTACGTCATGGTCTCGGCCCACATATGCCAGCAACTTGCTGCTAGGCTTAAAAACCCTCGACCATTGGCTTGCAACCACAAGTGGGTTGCCTTTTGCAGCCAACCCAAGCCCAAAACTCCTCTAGGGCTTTGCCCGACTCATAGCACCCAAGCCCAAACCCTTTTGGGCTATACTTTTTTTCGACCCAATGCTAATTTTTGGCATTCTAAATAATTTTAACCTGAATGTCATAATTATTTTTGCTTCTACGATCGACCCCGAATGGTCCCGATCTATTGAACTAACTAAAAGTGACCAGCAATCCATTAATCTGATAATTAATCCAAAATTAATGGCCTAAAGCCCACTTTTGGACATTAACGATTCAATAATTTATTTATCTTCTTTGAACCGTTGACTCACTTTCGTAGTCCCGAAACGCTCACACTTGAGTTCCTGAAGTAACTCAAGTCCACTACACTTAAATCAGCATATTGTATTATGTGTTCTTGAAGGAACCTCTCTTTTATGAACTAAACGTTCATAAACTAAAATTGAACCTGTAATTTCAAATTTAGTGTCTTTGAAACCAGAAGTTTTTATAAAACAATACACCCATGAAAACCCGACGTTTTTCATGAAAACCATGTCTTAGAACTAGAACGTTCTAACTTTGATGCTTATGGATGATTCATTCCCATATCACCAATCACAATCTTGTTCCCTCTAATTCTCTGGATTGTCGAACCATCATAAGTTCGATTTCCCTTATTTGGATATTTCTAATAGAAACCACTTTATGTAGGGTACAGGACGTGAATCTCCCCTTGACTATCAAGAAGCTGAGAAACCATTGAAGCTAACAATGTAATGGAAGAGCTGAATAAGCCTCCGCCATGATCTTCATTCGAAGACTTACGCCCGAAGCATTACAAACGGAAGTACCTCTTGAATGAGGATTCCATGGCTCTTTGGCTCACTCATATAGACCGTCTAATCATGAAAGATATTGCCTGAAGCACACTATGATTACGTCCATGAATAAGTACAATTCTGTAGTTTAAATCCGATCGAATTTTGACTAGAGAATACTTTTCTCGTCCTTCCTTGTTTCTAACTCGCTCATAAAGCAACAAGTGTAAAAAGCGGAAGTTTACCAAAATCTCAGATTTGATTACTACCACAAACTTGAGAAAAAGGTATAGACCCAGCTTCGGTTGGAGTCTACCAAATGGCTCAAACCCAATTCGGTCAAAGCCTACCGAATAATGATGCCTTGCTTCTGCAATGATGCACCAAAGGGTATGCTCTGCTTCAACGGAGCTGCACCGAATAATGCTAACTCTACTTCAGTAGAGACCTACCAAACAGACACCTCCAGCTTTGGCTGGAACCTACCAAACCCAAGTTCGGGCCTGTCTCTCTCACGATCCAATTTCGAGTTTGTTTTTACAACATTTGGTAGAATCAAGGGCTGCTAAGGTGTGGCATCACGTCCGAAGCATGATACTTGGCATCTAAGACCTAAAACTTCAAGAATAAGGGATAGTATTCCCAAACCTTAACCCTACAGAATCTACTTCCATTTTGATGGAATAAATCATTGACTATGCACCTGTTTGTGCCCTTACCAATGTCGTTAAGAAGTACTATTCTCGTAGTCAATATGTGAGACTAATTTTGCTCCACCAAACATTGTTGGAAGAGCAGAATTTTGACATGGATGGCCTTGTTGGCCGAATCCCCTTAGTAAACCATTTACTTTATGAACACTTTTCCATGTTCTTGGATTCAAGTTTGGTGTATGCTTTTTAAGGGAAATCTTAGAGATTAATATGGGATTTCGAAATGACTAGCATGCATATACAATTCAAAATTAATATACATAAGCAACGGAAGCATGTTATCAAATAATATCAAAGCTATAGTCATGCAAATCCCCTTCAAGGTTCATAGGTTTATATATAATGCATCTAAAACATTTAAGTTAAGAACAAAGTGAAGGAATAGATCTATACCTCTTGATCTAGATTTTAGACCAAGGATGGACCACCTCCAAGCCCTTTGCTCCTTGAACTCCTTGAGCCTAGCCTCCCTCCTTGCCTCATCCACATTGTTGGTAAGAGTGCTCCTAGGTTCTCCTTTAGTCTCCAAAGGAGAAGACCTCTAAAGATCCACACCCACTAGTGTAGTGAGATGGATGGAGGAATAACCAAAAGAGTGAAAAAGGATTAGCTAAATCACCCTTAAGGTGGCCGGCCTTTATGTAGTTTTAGAGAGCTATTTCTTTTGCCTCTTTGTTGTTTTAAACACACAAAAACCCTAAGGAATAAATCTCTATAAAGTTCCTTATATAGACAAAAAGAAACCTAGTCAACAACTTGACTTAATATCTCTCCCTCTCCACTTTAAATGGCCGGCCCCTTTGTGTTGGTTTGGGCTTTGGGCTTTTATTTATTTCTAGACATCCAATGCTTGAATAAAAGCCCAATGGGTTTAGGCCCAATGGGCCCAATTAAACCCGAACGTTTCTTTAAGCCCAAAACGATCTTTTATCGCTTTTATGATTTCTTTAGACTTTCTAAATTAATCACAACACTTCCATCATCCATTAATCACTCACCACAAGAGTGTATCGGTGTACAATCATTTTAGGTTCTAATTAGCAAGGTAGTGAGGTGATTGACATCAATCCAATTGATTATATTTAATTCAATCACTTAGTGAATTAAAACTTCC